CTAGGCAGGGGGTCCTGAACTGTGTGAGGGTGGAGAAATCAAGCTGAACACAAGCAAGCACCCAGCCACTGTGGGCAGCATATTTCCCCAGGCAGGGGGTCCTGAACCGTGTGAGGGTGGAGAAATCAAGTTGAGCATAAGCAAGCAGGCACATGAGCACACACGCACTCATTTCTGTCCACCTTCAACTGGTCACATGAAGTGACCAGCAGTCTCAAGTTCTGAGCATCTTGATTTTCCCACAGTAATGTATTATGAGCTGAGTATGTAAACTAAAATAAATCCCTTCTTCCTGAAAGTTGCCTTTTATTTTACTATGGCAACTGAAATGAAACCTGCCATTATAAAGCACCTCTGGCAATGTTTGATACCCAAATGCCTCTATTTACTACCCTGTCCTCTCTGCTTTGCCTCAGCAACTCTTCATTTCTCCCTCCACCTCCACACCCAGGACTGGACCTTCCTCCAAGACTCCAGAGCTAGTGAGCATCTCCCAGGGTAGCTCCTAGCCTCTCACACTTGACTAAAATCTAGCCCTCCCCTCCTCCCCTCTCTCCTGGGGGTCAGATGGCAATGCCCACCAGGGTCCAAGCCATACACCTGGGCATCTACCAACACTCACCCTTCAGTGTCTGTTCAAGTTCAGCATCTGCAGGTCAAGTGTGGATCAGTGGTGCCTGTTCTCCATCCTCTGCACCACCTTCCAGCTGCCCTGCCCCCTTGTGCCTTGTGAGTCTGCGGCAGCCCCTTCCCAGCCACCCAGCCTCCTGTCCTACAATCCACTTAGTAGCACCACTCTCCCCTACTCCATAACTATCTCCCTATCACTGACCTCAATCCCTTCCTGACCGCTGCAGGAATACACTTCAAGCCTGGGTCGCACACTTCAAGCCTGGGTCGCGCACTTCCTTGTCCAGGTATCATTAACCACCCAGATAACTTTTTGCAGACATGGACTTTCCAATTCCCCGTGCTGACTAGGGTGCCTCTCCAGAATATCCAATGTACCCTGTCCTTCCACCACAGGAACTTGACCTTGGCGTCAGGACATAGGCCTTGGCAGTCTGTCAGAGCCAGAAGGAACCCACATCTGCCTCCTGCTGTGGCAAGGCCCTGGGCACCATGCGCCCTCACTGACAATCCTAGCCACAGACACACCAGGGCATGTGAGCAGCATAGGAGATGACATGCAGGTCCCAGCGCTTGGGGCAGAGAGCAGATTTTATTTTCAAGGGAGCATAAAATGCAGTGTGGACTATGCCCTACCATTGCTTGCATCGTGAAATTAATATGTGCCCTAATGAGACAGGGAAGATGGCTCAGTGGTTAAGAGAACCTGGGTTCTATGTCCAGAACCTACATGGTGACTCAGATCTATCTGTAACTCCAGTACCAAGGGATCCAATGCCTTCTGCAGACAATTGGTGCACACACATACATTCAGAGAAAATACTCATACATATAAAATGTTTAAAAAGAAGAATTAGTGCCCTGGACTGGTTAAGTAAAGGCACGTGTAGTCAGGTCTGATAACCTGAGTTTAACCATTCAAGACTCACAGGTTCAATGAAGAGGACAGATTTCTGCTGTCCTCTGGCCTCAGAGATCTGTGAATACCAACACATGTGCATTCCCATACAACATAAATGAATTTGTGTAATGGAAGAAGTGGTCTGGTGAGCACCGCTCCACCAAGCAGGTGCATTATGGGCTCATCTCCTCCTCCTGGTGACCCTGCCCCTGCCCATTCCACAGGAGAAGAGATGGGGCCATGCAGAGTCTGAGATACCTAGGCCCATTTCCACGCTGTTCAGTGTCATGAGGGGGCTCCCACCTTCCTCCCCGACCCATCACCAGCCAGAGGAGGATCATGTCACTCTTCTCCTTCCTGGTTGTGGTTTTGAATCTCAGCTGTCCTCTGCAGCTGTGGGGACTCCAGCTATTTAAGGAGAATACAGAGTTTTGGGGGAACCTAGCTGCCAGAAGCGCATCACACAGCATGGTGTTTCTGCCCATCTCCTGTCTTGCACCCGTGTCGTGTGAACAGCCTCCACTACCCATTTCTGCTGCCTGATCTGGGTAAGCTTCTCTGCTGAGCCCTGCCCTCCTACCACTGACGGACTGAGGCCGTGAACCAAATCAAGCCTTTCCTCCTGATGCTTTCAGCATCCATTCTGTTCTCCATGATGCTAAAGGAGCCAACAGACAGGGCCGACATGGTTTAGCTCTGGATACCTCGAGAGCTTCCGTTCCTTCTCACTCACCCTCACCTTTAAATGTACGTACACAGCATAAAAACACCTTCCCCTTACTGGAGACACATCTCCCAGGAGAATCAGAGCACATGCTCTCTTTATCTTCATGAAGTCACCGTTCTTGGACATCTTTATAAGAACTGCCCCTCGCCCCTTAGGGGGGAAGCCCCACTGCACGGCATCCCCCCAGGCTGTGGCACATGCCATAGACTCTGACCAAATGCTCAAAGGCAGACAGATGAAGTCAATAACGCAGCAGGGATGGGGGCTTGAGCCCTGATGGGAGGAGACACAAACACTATGGCTGATGCTGGGGGTTCATGTGCCCCTCCGAGTCGCTAGCTACTCAAGCCTGCCTGACCCTGTGGGAAGCTTGTCTGAGGCAGGTTCCTTCTAGCCCCTCAGAGATCCCTCCTCTCCCCATGTTTCCTGCAGCAATCCACACATCTCTTCTCCATCTTGAAGGCCCAGCAGTGGCCTACAGTGGGGACACTAGAAGAGTTCCTCAACTAGAACACATTTCCACTGGCCATACGAGTGTCTGAGGTTACCCAGTGCATAGCCAAGTCACCATCTTCCCATTTACTTCCAGCCAGTCTAGTCACATTGGCCTCATGCGTTACTCTTGGGTCCAGAGGGAACCTGTTCTCTTCTCATTGTGCTGGTATTGACATCCCTCTCTAAGTTTCAGCTTGGACGTTCCCTACACCAGAATACCATTTGGTTTTCCAATACCCCATGAGCTGTGCAGTAGCATTCACAAAACTCTGAGATCAAGACTGTTGTGGATCCCTTTCTACAGAAAGATCATTGAACTCGGGAGTCACAAAGCAGAGGCCGGGACTTAACCTCGGGTATTGTCTCCCTCACCCCTCTCTGTTTGCAAGCTCTCCGGGACTGGGGATGGGGTGTCAGCCATTTTCATACCAGCAGCCCCAGGCCCTTGTATAGTACCTGACCCAAAATGTTAAATGTGGAGTCAACAGGCTCAAACCCAGGCCTTCTCCTTTCTCTCTGGGCTCCTCTATTCACCAGCTCACAGGCACTTTCACTGCCCACAGATCCCCTCTCTGTCCTTCAGCCCTGTAAAAGACATCTCAACTTTAGTATCAATCCAGGCACACAGAAGCCAGAACCAAGAACTGGGGCTAGCCAACTCCATCAGGCAACCAGGGACATTGTCACCTGTACTAAGCCCCAACTATAATGCCCTGTCTCAAAAAACAGCAATGCTTCTGCAGCAGAACCAAGACTCCAATGTGCAGAGAGGAGATAAAACACACACAGGGAAACCCTGGGCGTGTGTCACACTTTCTGACCCGTGGCACTCCAGACACCTAGCTCAGTGACCAGAGGGTTCATCCTTCCTGCTTGCTTCCCATCCCATCTGGTGTGACTCAACCTCTCCATCAACATTCCAAACACACTTGGCATACACAGTGATACTGGAGGACTTTTCCAGGGCAAAACTTCAAGGGTGGGCGGAAATGATGTTTCTAAATATCAGAGTCACCAAGGCCTGCAGTGTAAACTGTAGCAATGCCTGCTCAGGTGATGAAGGGTTATCCAAATATTTTGCAGAAGTATTTCAAACAGCACAAGAATCTATGGTTACTTTCTCAGCAGCCTTCTCAGAACTGTTCAGACCCTGACCCTGCACAAGTCCTGGCTCACAGCAACAGGACACAAGGAGACAGCCAGAAGCTGTGTCTCGGGGGGAAAGTACCGAGTGGGGAACAAGGTTCAGAGGACTGAAGTAAACCTTCGCTCAAGGAACCACTGACACAAGAGCCAAAGGTTTCACCCTGTGTGGTTTATTCCCTTCCCTCTTACTCCATGCCAGCTCTCAGTACATGCTCAGGAAACGTTTGTGGAAGAAATGAACTGATAGCCCAGGATATGCCTCAAGGTATAAAATTGAATTCCAGAGAGCTAAACTTTTGGTCAAAGTCACACAGTTAAGGAACTTCCCCATCTCCACCTCTCCTGTCTCTGCACCCACCATTTCTGCCCATGTCTCCACCTCCCCATTAGCTAGATCTTCACTGTTCCCTTTGCCTAGTGCCAAATG